TGCAAACATTTTGAACTTGTTAATTTTTGTCCCTAGGAGCTTCTATTGTGGAGTCTTTGTAATTTTCTATGAAGGCAATTATATCATCTGTGAATAAAACAATTTAATTTCTTCCTCCATGTACACCTTTTTCTCCCTTTTTCTTGCCTTATTGCACTGGCTAGAACATCCACTATTATGCTGAATAGGAGTAATGAGAACATCCTTTCCTTGTTCTAGATCTTAAGGGGAAGGCATTCCATCTTTCATCATTAAATGTGATGCTAGCTGTAGGTAATAGATGCTCTTTATCAGAGTAAAGAAGTTTTCTCTCTGTTCCTAGTTCGATAAGTTTTTTATCAAATGGATGGATACTGAATTTTGTCAAATATTTCCTGCATCTATTAAAATGATAATATAGAATTTCTTTTTTAGTTTGTCAGTATGGTAAATCACATTGTTAACATGGTGAATGGTTTTCAACTATTGAACCATATTATAACTATATTATATTCCTGGGATAAGTCCAATTTAGTCTTGTGTATTATGTTGGCTAATATGTTCATTTGGGTTTTCTACAAAGTGTTATGGAAAAACCTGGACAAACTTTTTGACCAACTCAATGTTATATTATATTATATATATAATAATATATATTATATTATTATATTATATATAATATATATAATATTATTTATATATTTATATATATATAATATATATAATATATATTATATTATATTGCTTGCTAGTTTTCTTATAATGTTTTTGTCTTGTTTTGATATTAGGGTAAAGTTGATGTCATAAAACAAGTTAGGAATTTTCCCTTGATTTCCCTAAGTTTTAAATGATGAAAAAATGACTTATAGAGTGCTTGCTGTTTGCCAGGCATTGTGTTAAGTGCTTAACTTATTTAATCCTTACAGGAACCCTATGACTCCATTATTGTCATCATCCTCACATTACAAATGGGGAAACTGAGGCACAGAGGAGTTAAAGTCACTTGCCTAAAGTCACACAGCTTCTAAGTACCAAAGCCAAGACTCAAACTCCAGAAGTCCAGCTTCAGACTGGGTACTCTTTAATCTGTTTACTACACTTTCTCCAAAGATGTTTACAGGCAAAAGAACATATCTAGAGGGCTCAGACCAGTTTAGCAGCCACTATTCTTCCACCTATGGTTTAACAACAGTAACTAGCACATGTCAAAGCACTTACTACCTGATAAGCTACAGCCTCATCTCCTCCATTTCGTCCTGCACCAAGCCTCAGAGGCAGACAGACAACTGGGCAAACGCTCCCTTCTGCTGGGTGGCACGTGGTTTCAGGCTTCATCTCCCTCACTTTGTCTCCCTTAACATTCATTGTGCCTTTTAGAAGGAAAAGTTTTAATAATATCTCTTTCAAATCTCAGTATAATTTTGCGCTGCTCCTTCCTTATCAGGCAGGCTCACCGGTCCTCTCTCCTGCTCTCTTTCCTCAAGCATTCAGGCTCATCTTTTCCTCCTGCACTGACTTCTGCTTTGCACTGTCTTGTCCCAGCTGGTCCAATCAGGGTCCCCAACTCGATTTTGTTGGCTTATTGTATGTATTTTGAAAAGTTGGAAACATCTTGCTTATTTTAAAAGGAAGAGGAAAGAGATGGAGTTTTAGGAACAGCTGAGACACCAATTTTCTCCACTGAGCACACAGCAAGAAGGACTGAAGTTAGTTAAATCACTTCTCAACAGTAATGAAGGTACTGGATGCAATGGAAAAGACAGGTGTTTGCATGCCGGTCAGACTGCTCAACTATAGACAAGATGCTCCACTTCTCAGAATCTCAGTTTGCTCCTCTGTAAAACATGTTCAGGATATGTACACATCATGGGGGCATTCAGTGCCACAATATAAGCATTTAATACAGGAAAAAAATCCAGTGTGGAGAAGGCATTGAGTGACAGTGCTTTCCACAGTCTGGGCACTGGGCCATTTTAACATAGGTTATCTTACTTAACCTAAACTGCCTGTGTCCTCCACCCATTTTATGGGTGAGGAAAACTGTGGTGCAGAGAGTAAGAATTCTCAAGTGACAGAGCTTTGCCTATACACCATGTTAGAAACCCCTGTATTTCCCACCAGACCAGTTAAATTAGACTGTCTGGGGCAATTCCTAGAGGCAGGGGATTGGACCAAATGGCCTTTCCCAAGCTCTTCCTCTCAATCTAGAAGCTGAAGGGGCTAAGAAACAGCCTTGCTTTCCCCTAGTTACTGGCTCCCCTGTTGCCAACACTCAGCCACTCCCTAACCCTCTACCACCACAGTGAGAATTTGAAATTGGGGTGAGTCCACTGCCAGGAAAAGTGATTCAATTAAAATCTCAGTTTTCAACAATATTACCAAGCTCTTTGGTCTGTTACTTCACACCCAGCAGAGCTGAGCCTTGGAAGCAGGGTAGTGAGGGCTTGCTAATTGTTGGGGGCTGGGGGCAGGGCGGGGAATACTGAACTGAGCTCTGCCCTAGAAGCCGGCACTGAGCCCAAAGCTCTTCTCAGCATGCCTCCAAGTCCTTCCCCTGGCTCAGGCAGGGCTAAGCAGCCCCCGTCCTTCCTACAACTGAATCAGCTTCATGATAACCACAACTGCAGCAGCACACCCAGCAATCAGTGTGTGGTGTGTTGGGCGCTGAGCTGAGTGCTCGACTTGCACCCTCATCTCCATCAACATCTTTACTTCTCACTACAATTTCAAGGGTAGCTACTCTCATTATGCCCAGTTCACAGAAGGGGAAACTGAGGCATGGAGACATTAAAAAGTTCATAGATTAACAGCCAACTCTGCTTCATTCTACAGTCTGCCCCCTTAGTCACTAGGACGTATTTTTTGTCCTTATGGTTTTAAGAGAATGACTTAAGGATGTCACGCTTGAACTACCTTGCAAGCCATTAACCAAGCTGTTACCAGCCCATGACCTTCCCGCAAGCCTGGCCTCTCCAGTGGTTCTTCTCCAGGATGTTTGGTCCCTCGGCATCCATCTCTGAGCTCTCTGATCTCAGAGACTGTGTCTTAGGGGTCTCTGAGTCACCTCTTCATGCCTCCTCAGCTCAATGTCCTCCAAGTTCTAATCAAAATTCCTCACTCTTAAATCTCCAAGCCCTGGGCTCAGCCTTGAAGAGTCTGTGGCTGGCATAAGACAGGTGCCAATGCCAATGGGCCAGGAAGGTCCTAGCAGGCATGGGAGTTAATCTGTAAATGTGTGCAGTACCTTGACTCCCACCCTGAGGGCTGTGAAGATATGAGCTGTCCCTCCTTCTCCCCATCCTCATTTCCCTGCTCTGGACCCTTAGAGCCTTTCCTTGTCTCTATGGTTCTGCGCCTCAAGGGGTTTTCAGAAGAAAAGCCTGAGAGAGTGGTAACGTCAGTCTAAAGAGGAGATGGAAGGGTGACTGGTGGGAGTCAGATACACTCTGGTATGAGGGCTAAAAGGAAAGGGGGCTCTGCCATTTCTGTGGTTCAGCAAATAAGCAACTGTCTCAAAAATACTCCCCAAAGGAGAGTTCTGGAGAGGTTCAGGAGGGCCATGGGGTGGGGGCGGGGAGGTGGGAGCTGGGCCCAAATCGATCCCAGCTTGGGGTAATTATAGGACGCGTGCCCACCACCCCAGCAGGCGAATAAGGCTAGCTCTCTGCCAGGGCGGCCAGAACAATTAGTTAGTAATAAAAGCCTCATCACTCATCGGCAGAGAGGCTCAGTCTTAGCAAACTTAACGCTTTCTCCTACCTGCCAGATTTGGAAGAGGAGGGATTTATTTAAATAAGGCAGAAGCCGTGGCTACCAAGGTGAATGTTTTGGAAAGGAAATCTCAGCCAGGCTGTCAGAAATCCAGCTCCCAAGTTCTCAGGATCCTGAAGGGTAGATGATGCTATGATTCTAGGCTTTAGGTAGGACTGGATTTTTTTTTTTTTTTTCTCTATTTCTTTCTGTCTCTCTCTCCCATCTGCCCGTAAGTGATCTTCAGGAATATATCTGCCACAGAGATTCAGGGGACTGTCGCAGGGACTATCTGGAAGAAATGTCCATCTCCAGCTGGAGCCCCCCCCAAACCCTTCCTTGCCTCAGGGGCCCTGGCAAACACCAACTCCCCACTTTCTCGCGTCGGCAACGCCCCCTGCCGCCCCCCCTACCCTCCACCCCTCCACCAAGCTCTCTTCAGGAATTCAGTATAAGTCTCAGCTACACTTCGGACAGCAGGCTAAGATGTGGGACCAGACAGACATCTGCAGCGGCAGTGAGCTGCCCAGGGTGGGTGAACTGGGAGGCAAAGCCAAGGGTGAGGCAGGTCCTCAAGGAGACCGTGACCCCCTGCGGTGGCGGCCTCGGTAGCCCGCACGTCCCTCCGCACCTTTGCCCTGTCCAGGGCATGGTCCTGGAGCCACCCAGACTCTTCCTAGCCGGCCTCGCCTTCCTCAGGGTGGCAGCGGGGGGCTCATCCCTTGCTCCATCCCAGCAACCCCCGGAACAAGAGAGTGCCCAGGATCAGGGTTTCCAGCGTCCTCTGGGGTCAGGCGGCGCGGGGCAGAGGTGCCCCTAGTCTGGGTGGACGTGGGGGGCGACGGGAGAGAGGAGGCCCCCATGACACCATCTGTCCGGACTTGCAGTCGAGTCACACATACACACAGCCCTCCCTGGAGCCCCTCACGGACGCCCGGCCGAGCCCTTCAGTCGCTCACGCAAACACACACCGAGGAGCTCCAGCCCCGCTCGCTCGCACCGACCCCACACACACCCTGGCCCATCGCCCGCCGCGCACACTCTTGAGACGCACATACACACACACGCACCGTCCCTGCCAGGCCACCGCAACTTCCTCTCAGCCCCCAGAGTCTGGAAACGTCCGCAGTTGCCCGGAAAGGCGTAAACTTTTTGCAGAGGGGGCGCCAGGGATCTCACTCAGAAGGTGGCCAGGCCCGGCGGCCCTGGGCAGGGCTCGCCCCGCACTCTCCGGGCTCCCGGCTGCCCTCCCTCTCCCCCACGCCCCTCACCTGGTAAACCGAGGCACAGCAAGAGGCTGTAGTAGACCACGGGCACGAAGCCCAAGCCGCAGGCCGAGCCGGGGGACCAGGACTGCGAGCTGTTGGCTGCGAGGTGGGCGTGCGTGTGCTCCATGAGCGCGCCCCTCGCTCCCCGCAGCTCGGCGCCCGGCCTGCCAGCCCCGCTCCGGACGCCGGCTCGGTGGTGGCGACCGCCCAGGCAGCAGCCGGAGCAGCAGCGCCTCTCTCCCCGCAGGACTTGCTTCTACCCTTGGCCGCGGTCCCCTCCGCTCCCTCCGCACCTGCCCGCCTGGAATCCCGGCTCAGCCCTCCCGCAGGGCGCAGGGCGCTGGGCGCTGGGCGCTGGGCGCTGGGACTCGGGAGGGGCTCCCGGAGCCCATTAGTGCGCCTCCCACCTCGGGCTCGCTCGGCTCCCGCCTCGGAGCCGGGGGGCTGGGACGCCGGTCCCCGCAGCCAATCAGCAACTGCCTGGACCCGGTGGAAGGAAGGGGTGGAGGGGCGGGGTGAGATGCTCTGGAGGATGGGGGTCCCAGCTGCCCCTCTCTGCTCCAGATTCTGGAGGAGACGTGAACTTAGACCTGAGAACCCCAAAGGAAGACTGGGTGGAAACAGACTACCTTCATCTCCAACCCTCCGTCCCCCGCCCTGAGTGGGAGGGGCGTGGTGTGGGTGGGACCTGCTTCTCTAGCAAAGGTTCTGTACTCGGCTGCTTGTCCTCGGTTAGCCTTTCTCGACCTTCCCCGCATCCAGCTCTCTTCTCTCCCTTTACCTCCCGCTCCCCTCCCCCTTCCGCCAGTGCTTCAAGTCCATCTCCTACAGAAGACTCTCCACTCAGGGCAGGGGGCGAGAGGAGGAGGCTGTAACAGCAAGGATGCTCTCAGTTCAGTTTAGTTCAGTCGCCCAGTCGTGTCCGACTCTTTGCGACCCCATGAACTGCAGCACGCCCGACTTCCCTGTCCATCACCAACTCCCGGAGTTTGCTCCAACTCATGTCCATTGACTCGGTGATGCCATCCAACCATATCCTCTGTCATCCACTTCTCCTCCTGCCTTCAGTCTTTCCCAGCATCAGGGTCTTTTCCAATGAGTCAGTTCTTCCCATCAGGTGGCCAAAGCATTGGAGCTTCAGCTCCAGCATCAGTCCTTCCAATGAATATTAAGGACTGATTTCCTTTAGGATGGATTGGTTTGATCTCCTTGCAGTCCAAAGGATTCTCAAGAGCCTTCTCCAACACCGCAGTTCAAAAGCATCAATTGTTTGGTGCTCAACTTTCTTTATAGTCCAACTCTCACAACCATACATGAGGATGCTCTAGGGTTCTCTGTTTTCCTGGTCCAGAGGGCCCAAGTTTAAAAGGAAGCGTGTGTGCAGTTGAGTGTGTGTGCTGACTCTGGGGGAGGCCGGAGGTGGGCTGTACCTTAGCTGAGTGCCTTTGAATGGGATGCGGGCAGGGTAGCAGAAGCCCTCCACACAGGAGCCCTCCTGCCAGTGATATGATGGCAGCCACACAGGCAGAATCATCTACACTCACAAATGTAGTACCTCATCATGGGGGCGCACTCATACACTCAGGCCAGCACGTGGAAGCCCTTTCATCCCACATCTAGACACGTGAAAATGGAGGGGCACGCTCATCAACATGCACAGTCACAGGGCACACACACAGATGCACGTGGGAACTATCTGGGGGATGGACTAATGTTTGAAGGTTGAGCGAAGGATAAAAGAAATGAAGCTGATGGGGATATCAGCAATCCCAAGATTGGGGTGAATGGGCACTCCCTTCTCACAGTAGGCAGAGGGAGAATTCTCCATGTGGCTCTTCCGTGGGCCACAACAGAGTTGATAAAGGAGATATCAACTGCCTGTCCCTGGCTCAAGACAGTGTGTGTGAGAGAGTTAGAGATTCTGTAGAAATCCCGAGAAGATGGGGAGGGAGGTGGGAGGGGGGGTTCAGGATGGGGAACACATGTACACCCATGGCTGATTCATGTCAATGTATGGCAAAAACCACTACAATATTGTAAGGTAATTAGCCTCCAATTAAAATTAAAAAAAAAAGAAAGAAAGAAATCCCAAGGAGAGGTGGGGATGAGCAGCTGCCATGGCATATGATGAGCTGAGAGAAGTCTTAGTCTCCCCTCTGTGTTCTACCCTCCTTCAACATTCATTGCAAGCGGGAAGGGAATTGGGTGGGCTCCAGGTCGCCCAAGATAGAGAGGCCCCTGGCCTCTCTATCTTGCCCCTCCCCTGCCCAACAAGGGACCTATGTCCAGTTCCCATTATTAGAATTGTTAGATCATTACATGTCATTGTTAGATTGTTACAGAGTCATGTGGGCCTGGTGAGGCCAGATCTGATAACTCAAGCCAACTTGGATAGTGCAACTTTTCTGTGAACTCTTCCATTTAAATATGATTACCCCAAATAAAAACAAAACAACCCCCCCCCCCCAGGTTGTTAATAAATAAAACAGTGCCATCATAGAGGTTTGGCAAATAATTGTTCAAGAATCTATAGATTAGATTTGTCTGCAGGTGACCAGACTGAGATGAGAAGCTGGGGTTGGGGAAGGGCAGGTCTGTGTCGTTTGACAAAGCTTCCAGGCTACGTGGAGATTTCCTTACCTTGTGACCCGTAGATAATGCCTCAGGGCTTTTGCACTGGCTCTTTCCTCAGATTGTTGTGCTCTTTTTCCAGAAATCAGTGTCAACCTGCTTCTTTACCGTCTTTAGGTCTGCTTATATGTGTCCTTGTCATTGAAGCCTTCCCTAACAATCCTATTTAAAATTGAGATCTTCACCCAACTCCTGGCCAAAATGCTTACTTCCTCTGTCCCTCCCCTGCATGATTTTCTCTATAAGCTTGGCACCGTGGACATACTGGATACAATTTGTTTTTTAGTTTGTTTCTTATCTGTACTTCTACACAGTGCTTGCGTTTTGCAGGTTCTCAACAAACACTGAAAGAATGGAGGGCGGGGACAGCACTGACCTGGGACTTGCAGGGTATAGGGAAATGGGTTTGTCTTTGTGGAATAGAGGGTCAGAAAACTGGATGTTGGTAGGCTTGGGGGAGGGCACAAGCTCAGGTTTAGCATGTAATTATCATATATGATTGCTACTTTAAAAATAACTTATGTGGTTTGATTCTGGGGCTCTAGTTCAGTTCAGTTCAATTGCTCATTAGTGTCCAACTCTTTGCGATCCCATGAACCGCGGCAGGCCAGGCCTCCCTGTCCATCACCAACTCCCGGAGTCCACCCAAACCCATGTCCATTGAGTCGGTGATGCCATCCAGCCATCTCATCCTCTGTTATCCCCTTCTCCCGCCCCCAATCCCTCCCAGCATCAGGGTTTTTTCAAATGAGTCAGCTCTTTGCATCAGGTGGCCAAAGTACTGGAGTTTCAGCTTCAACATCAGTCCTTCCAATGAACACCCAGGACTGATCTCCTTTAGGATGGACTGGTTGGATCTCCTTGCAGTCCAAGGGACTCTCAAGAGTCTTCTCCAACACCATGGTCCAAAAGCATCAGTTCTTTGGCACTCAGCTTTCTTTATAGTCCAACTCTCACATCCATACATGACCACTGGGAAAACTGTAGCCTGGACTAGAAGGACTAGGACTCTAGTTCGAGACTCTTTATAAAGCTAGGAACTTGACTGGGCAGAGGAACTGGGCTACGTGGGGAATTTTAATGGGCCTTGTTTCTGAACCTGCATCTCTCATCTATAAAGTGGGGATGAAGGAACCCAGGTATGCCTCACTCTAAGGATGTTGAGGAGGGAGAGAGGGTGTGGAACAGCAGAGACAGTTCAGGGCCACAATTTAGGAGAACAGAGAATTGGACTGGGTTCTCTGCGCCTCTATCAAGAGCCTTGGCAGCTTGTCAAGGTCCAAATTTCCTGGGAAATGGGTGGGTTGGATGAACAAACCTTTAAGTCCTAGGTCAAGCCTTGGGTATTCTTGGTTCTGGGAGAGGGACATGATGAGTCAACAACAAAGTCTGACCCACTTTGTTCAAGTGCTGACCCACTTGACTGGTTCTCTAAGACAGTGGTGTATGTAAGCTGACAACTGTGGTTGGTGAAAATCATATACTTATTCACTTTTCAACAGACTTTTGCTGGACATTTGATGTATGTCGACCAGGACTGGCCACATAATTGCACAGCCTGATGCAAAAATGAATTTGTAGGGCCCTTGTTCAGAAATTAAGAATTTTAGGGTTATTAAAAGGTTTTAATTTTAATTGAAGACTGCAGAACATTAAACCAAATAAGAAGCTCTTCTAAGCAAGGGGACTACGTGACGACACACCCGTGAGGCTGATGCTGCTTAGAATACAGAGGTGAATAATGAAAATTAACATTGACTGGGGGTTTATGAAACAGCTATGTCAATTAATTTTATCCTCATGGTAACACTGGAAGGAAGGTACAATTATTAGCCCCATTTCACAGGTGAGAAAACCAAGGCACAGGGAAGTTAGCCATTTGCCAAGGCCACCTGGCTGGGATTAGGTTTAAGGTAGTCTGGCTTCAAAGCCTGTGCTATAGCCACTGGGAGGAGCTTAGTTTAGTGGAGGGACAAGTATCCAACAGAAAACTGTCACACGATGTAACGTGGGCTCCACGTGATGCTGGGGCAGTGATTTCATCTGCCTTGTCCTCTGCTGTATCGCAGCGCACAGTGCCAGGGAGGTGCCCAGCAGCAAATGTTAAATGATAGAACAGAAATATATGGAGGCTGTTAGGGGAGAGAGTTGCAAACTCAAATGCCTATAAGCCTGGGTAGGCAATAAACTTGAGTGGTGCAGAACTATGGTTTATTCTTCACTTCCATAAGGAAGTGTACTATTTCCCATTTTCCTGGTGACACCTGGCCCTCTTGGTCTAGTGTTCATTTCTCCTCCCTTTAACAGGGACAGGAGTATGAAGTAATGATTCTTTACTCTGAGAAAAACAGTTACAAAAATAGGATACAAATTGTAGCTAACACTTTTTCAGTGTTGGGAATGCAATAGGAAGAGGTGGGCACTGTACAAAACTAAATGTATGATGCTTGGAGGGATTGGGGGCAGGAGAAGAAGGGGATGACACAGGCTGAGATG